TATCCATTTTCTATCATCCACACTGAAATATACTTTGACCTAATAAAATATCATTTATTTGCCTTTCTTTGGTATGTTTTTGGTATGATACTTGAGTATGTTTTTACTTTCTGCTTTCACACCACTGAACAGACTCAGGAGGACTAGAAACTTTCCTAGCTGACATGTATAAATGCAGCCTTTTCCATTTACTGCTGCTTTATACAGTACTTTTATTCCTCTACATTGCGCCATCCATTATCAGAGAGGCCTCAGTTTCTATTGATGTTAGGCACCATGTGTGATGTGGTGGTTAGTAATACTTGGGCACCACAGGGACGGTCCAGTCTCCATTCATGTTCACTTTGTACACCTCAGATTTTCAGTGCAACAGTGAATCATGCCACCTGCAGAAGTTCTCTGATGTCACCATAGTGAATGGGCGGGTTAAGGGTGAGCAGGAGTCGGAGTCTAGGGAGCTGTCGGGGAACTTTGTGGAGTGGTCGGGTAAAAATCACCTCCTTAATGTCAGCAAGACAAAAAGAGCTGGTGGTTGACTACTGGAGGAAAAAACTGCAACTAGGTGGATCAAGCAGGTGGGGTCTCTTCTGTTAATCTTCATATAGTTTCACACTGAGGAGAGAAAGGTATTCAGTTAAACAGCAAACCTCTTGTACGTTTGCAGAGACATCAGGCAGTGCAGGTTTGAGTGGATAACTCATGGCCATCTTACCTGGTTTCTCATTCAGTATTTTCAGTTCTATTTCTGTTTCTTTTTCTTCATTCTTAGTAAAAAACAAAAAAACGAAGACATAATTACTTTGATAAATCAGGTGTTGCCATCCGTTACAGTCCACACTCCTGTGATATTCAAACATACCTTCCTCAAGTTGATTAGGTGTACAATTATTTTTTCGCCTTCGCAAAAAGAAAAACAATTTAAAAATTAGTGTAAAAATATTATTTTCTATATAGATCATGATAAGATTTTCATTGTTCTGTTACTCTCACCTCGTTTTAGACATCCAATCTCCTTTCTACAGAGACACAAAGCTATAAGTATCACAATTAATAAAATCAGTAACAGGCAGCCAGTGAAGATCCAAGAAAGAACCACATTCTCATCTTGTTCTTCACACTGAGCATCAGTTGTAGCATTTCCTGGTCTTATCAGCTTAAGGTTTAGTGACTCACATCTGGAAGGACAGAGAGACACTTTACAGGAAAATGTACAGATGTGCCACAATCACTGGTGCTGGAACAAATCAGACGTGTCTGTATGTGCTGTGAAGCTTCACTTACGGTCTGTGTGGCCGGCAAAACTTTAAAGTCCCATCTGAAAATGTCCCATAGCTGCACACAGAGCACTCAGTGTCTCTGAAGGCTGTTCCTGCATCAACACGAATATGCACCATTTTCAGCATGTACATCATGAAGGATCAGTGAGTGACTGTGACATCAGAGTAATTATATGTGTCTAATGACAACCAGTTTAAAATACATCTAAAAAAATTTCCTTGTTTCAGTTTCTAAATTTGATCTTTCTGAGTTCATTCATGTGGTGGAGTGATGGAGAGCAGCTTTACTACAAAGTAATAACACCATATTGAGAAACCACTGCAAGTATGCAACAGAAATATTATTCCATCCAGTTTATTTACACGTAAGCACAAGAATACAACCTGCTTGGCTGATGTATTCTCCTGGGTTACAGGGTTTGTGTTCTTGTGCTTCCACACAGTGAACACCGTCATAGTCAACACAGTAGAATCCATCCCGTGGTTCACAAATTGTATCTGATGTTGTTGTGCATGCCCTCTTTTTCTTCACATTTAAATCTGTGAGCACGTAGAGAGGACGCATGTTAGACAGGAGGCTAGGGATTGGGAAAGAACGAGGCAGAGAGGTCACGGCTGTGGTGATATTATGATGTCATTCATCAAAAGTGACTTATGGTGTTTTTCCTGCTTAAAATTAGACACTATAACAGTAATCAACATTTAATCAATTATTTTAAAATTACTGATATATTAAAAGTTTGTAATAATTGTCAGATTGAACAATTGAACATTTTAATTCAGAAAAAAATATTTATAGAAAACATCAATGAAATTGATGCTTCCTTTTACTTTGATGTAAATCTAAAGTACGGCATATTATCTGTAGGCAACATCATATCATAGAGGGTAAGAATGTCAAATCAAAGCAATAGGACCCTTATACCAATCTTTACTGAATTTCCCGGAGGAACCTAAAGAGCACGAGGAAATAAAATAAAATGTTCTGTCTGTCTGTCTATCTAACACTTTTAATTCTTATACGGCAGTAACAGCTTCACTAGTTTCATAAATAAGAAATATGAATAAAAACCTACTTAGGTCACAGATTGTGCAGTGAGTGCATTGTTTGAGTCCGCTGGGCTTATCCATGTGGGTTCCATCCTCGCAGGCCACACAGGAAGTGTTTGCAGTCTCTGTGCAATCTGTCTTGACTCGATTTCCTGTTATAATAGAAAAAAGCAGACTATTTTCAATACATGTCGCTGTTACTCATCTAAACTGTGAAACATTTAGAGTTATAAAGGTATGAAGTTGAACTTTCACATATAGAGAGACAGTAAAGAGCAGGAGGGAAATCAGCCTCTAACATTCAGCTGGCTCTTACCTGCAGGACACTTTGAACAGCACAGGCCTTGTGCTTGATACATTGTTGAAGGACATGATTGAGTGAGGACACTGAAGACATTCATCATGATTATCTGAAAACAAAGAAGAAGAACAAAGAATACATTTAAAAGTAGAACTAGGCTTCAAACTGAGAATGGCTCGACTAACAGAGAGCAGCAGGAGGTGGAAAAGAAGAAAGATATGAAATGAAATGTGCAACAACCTGAAAATGAGAGCTGATGAGTGAAGAAGGAAGATAGTGATGACAGCATCAATTTAAATGAAAAAAAAGACAGTACAGGAGGAAATTCTAGCATGTAATTCACACAGTGATGCAGATGTGAGTCAGAAAATGTTGACGGGGTTACAAAATAGTTACATAGAAGGAAAAACAATAGTTTTATTTTTCTTTAAAAAGCTTCTTGTAAGTTTGTATGATAAATATTTTACCAGCAACACTGCAGCTGTCAAAGAATTTCCTCCTGAAGTCATTTTATACGGCAGAATGAAGACTTTCCTGAACTGAAGACCGTCTCACTGAGATTTGCAAGGAGATGAGCTGTATGATCTAAAACAGCAGGAGAACATCTGGAAAAAAAAATGTAAGTGAGCAGCAGGAAACCTGGTTCATGTGGATAAAAAGTTAAATGTTTATGATTCAGGGTAAAAAATTGATTTGCTTTTTGTTCTTTGTTTGATTGTTTTTTTAATTGGTTTTTTTTATAATGAAAGAAAAAAGTATTTAAAGGAATAACCTGGTGGTTTGCGTTACAGTGCTTAACAAATATATTAGAACAGAGATATTTTAGAGATCTGTCAAAAAAAACTAAAACTAAAACTTATATTCTTTATTATCAAACAAATAACAAACTAAATTCACGATTTTACACCCACATTTGAGCTGACACGCTTTACTTCACTGATATTATTCATAAATATTATCCAACCACTAAAACCAGCTATTCTGTAAGTAACCAACTGTAATTTGGATTCTAACGTAAAACAGTATACTTTAAAATTCATGGAAAACAACAATATGTGGATTTCAGCATTAAAATGTGACTTTTGCTTAAAGAGGTTGTACATACTGATGTAGTAACCATGAGAGAAAATTAAAATAATTATCATTAGTGTTAATTTAGGGCAGATGTGGCACAAACGTTAGACCACACGAGGAAATAAAATAAAATGTTAACATTTTTTAAATGTAGATCAAGGCTTGAAAATATGTATTTCCCTCACAAGCTCCATGCTAATGTAAAGATATAACAACATTTAAAAGGAACTTTTTCTTGAGGAAGTCAAAATGTAGTTAATTTATAATCAGTTCAGAATTTAAAGTTAGAGTTTGTTAAACGTGCCCTCTGGAACATGGCCCTAGTGTTTGTTTTGTATATTATGCAGAGTTCATATAGAAATTATAGATGGCTGCCGTGCCTTCGAATTATGCT